ATTTCAGGAATTCCAAATTTGCAAATAAAATTACGTACAAAATAATCTGCAATTGTTTCGGCATCGTGTTTAGGCAAAGGATAAGCTTGAGAATATTTTGTCAAATCATCTTGTAAAGTTAAAATGTACTTATTTCCATTTTCTGACAAAGGTAGTGGACCTACAATATCGAGAGCAACCTTTTGAAATGCTTCTGTAGACGTTGAAGTGATTACCATTGGTTTTTTATTTTTCTTTCTATCGATTTTATTTTTTTTGGCATGATTCGCATTTTTTAATAAATTCTTTTATATCTCTTTTCATACTGTCCCATTTATAATTTGCTTTAATTTTTTTATAAGTTTTATGAAACCCTATGTGACCTGAAATTATATTAGAATGATTTTCTTCTAAAATAGATTGTATATCCTCCCTCTTTGGCGTTTGAACCTTCCCGTGATAGACGTTGATTGTTATATCTGTATCTTTAAATATATATCTAATTATTGTTCTTACTTTATACCATTTAAGACGAAGGTTACAAAAACTTGTGAAATTAATTGCCTTAATATTTTCTTGTAGTAATACATTTTTTAAATTCTTAAAGCACTCATATATGTTTTCGTACGTTACACTATCCCAATAGTTAATTTTTGGAAAAGAAATAAATTTTCTTACCACTCTCTGATATACTCAGGACATCATATTGAGTTGGTTTCTTGGACCTTAATTCTTTGAGATAAGATTCATATTTTAAAAGCGTCTTATCATTCTCGACATCTAAATCGACCGATGTAAAAACTACTATGTTTACATTATTTGGGAGCGTATCGCTATGTTCATCGAGCTTATTAAATAAAATCGGTTTTCTTTCCATTTCTTTCAAAAATGAAGAATAACTTCCCCCATTTCTAGTTATACTATTTATTTTCTTAACATCACCGTTTGAGGTTTGTTTTAGCTTATCTAAACGATTTTCTTTGTACGCTTCTTCATTATTAATGTTATTGACGTTAATTATCTCATTCGTCCCTTGTCTCTCATTAACTTTGTTTACTGTAATTAACTCATTCATTTCTTGGTGATCGTTAGCTAACGGTTGTAACTTCACAAACAACTTATTTATTTTCACTTCCTTATCTGTCGTATTCAAACACACTGTTAACGCTTTGTTTTCGTGGACTTTTACTATACTCGGACATAAATAAACACCGTCTAATATCTTAATTGGTTCCGATATTATCCCTTCCTTCAAATTAGGGTTCTCTACACAAATAGAAACTACTTTTTTCACATCTTGGTTTTATGACCAAGAAATCACTTTCACAATTTGTTTCTTTCTTTCCTAAGGTTTGTGGATGAACCTCACAAACTCTTTCAAACGTATTATTTTCATAACTCTTTTCATTTTCTAATACTTGTGGATATACTTCACAATCACTTTCAAATATATTACTTCCTAAATCTTCATAACATATCTCTTTTATTTTTTACATCGCACATATTATCTTGTATGCATTTTTCATTCACATATTCATTCGAATCTTCACTTACAAAATTTATTTCCTCGTGCTCAATATCCAACTCTATACCACAAATTCTGATTTTATTCTCTTTATAACTAATTATAGAGTCCGTTTTTGACAAGAAATCGCTACCTATGACTCCATCGCATTGAATAGGAAAGTTATCTGGTACCACGTGAAGTGTATGATAAACTCTTTTGTCTCCTATATCAAATGTCAACTGGACATATCCGATTGTCTTGGTCGGAGTCGGACTAGCATCTTTGTCTATTCCCTTTAATTTAATTTTCTTATCTTCATATAACAATGTTTGTCTTTCTAACGACGTTATTTTTATTAACGTTACTTCTGCCCCTGTATCAGGGATGATAAGGAACTTATTTTTACTTCCTAATATTTTTGAGGAATTTAATTTTATATATGACGAAATACGCGTATCAATAAATCTTATTCGGCCTGAATCTAATTTGTGATCCTCGGGTTGGCCGCGGGCCTTGGAGTTTAAATGTTCATTTTCATTATTATTCTTTTGTTTATTATAACAATTACTATAATTTCCATTATTGTTCGTACGATTAAAACGATTATTCTAAGAGGTATGGCTATTATTACGGTTAATTGGACTATTCCAACAGTTTTTATATATATGACCTTTTTTTTACAATAAAAGGAGGATATGATTATTTGTTTCATTAGTATACATCTGCCTAATCATAGGTTGGTTTCGACATTGGTGAGATAAATGATTTGATTTATGACAATTTGTACATTTGTTAATTCCCGTATTATAACTGTGTCTAGCACTCATTTCCTGCCTGGATTTTATTTCTTGTTCTTCGGAAATCGCTATAGAAACGGCGTCTTCAAAAGTTGAAGGTTTCTGAGACTTTAATAAAATGTGAAGTTGTGGTAGAAGACCACTTATGAAAATATTTAATTGTTTGTTGTTTTACTTGTTTTTTCAATAACTCTACATTAGCTTCGCGAGCTTCTTTTGTCAACTTGAGGTCTAACGATTTAATTAATTTTATATAGCAATTTTCAACCCTACTAGAGTATTTAGAAATACATTCATTTTGACCTTGTCTGCACGAATTAAGTTCTAATTGCCACTGTGCAAATGTCCTTTTTTCGGAATAATTTTCTAATAAGTGTTCTTTTAAATTTTCCCATGACGAAAATGACCTATTCAATAACGTTGACCTAATATTGCCTTCAATTTTCGATAATACTACTGATACAAATGCAATTTTATAAACTGGATTTAATAAAGCGAACGCATTATTGCAGTTATCGATGAACACATGTAAATTTGCCTTATTGCCATCGTATTTATTAATCATCCTTTCTGCAAGACTGATATCTATAAACCCAACAGAAACTTTATCCTCTGAGGTGTACATTATAAATTTTAATTTACTTGAATTATAAAAGCAAAGAAATAATTCGATTTAATTATATGGATTCGCATAAACCTTTAAATTTCACTATTCATTCCCTATAAATTCTATATTACTCTCGATAGAATCCTATTATTCCTAATGAAATACAAAAAATACACAATATATCAACAATTATACGACTCACTTGGATGACGTAGTTATATATTGCGGAGTCCGGTTTGCTTCGCTGTGTCACGTCGTCGCTATGCACGCCGCCGAAGATCAACTGGCCTGTCGCTGTGGTACTGGTCTGTTCCAGTGGAGAACCACGTTGGCCCAATGACTCGATGTGCTCGTGACTGCTTCGTGTGTCTTCCTTTGATTTCGCCGCTGTCGAGGACTGCCTACTGGATGCTTCGACGCGTGTTGTCTTCAACCTTCTTCCAGAGAGTTCTCCAATACGTGTAGTGACGTTGATAACTGGAGACCCGCCTGGACTAAAGGACTATAATATTTCAATAGCCTTTTACGTGTATCGGACTATGATATTTCAATTGCCCTTTTACGTAAATCCCACTTCTGACACCAAAAATGTAATGTTCGGGTGATCGAAAGGGGTTTTTTAAATGACAACTAGCAGCGTGACGATATATATTGAAGTATTTTTATTTATTACAGCAGACTATACGTGTGTCACGTCTCAACAACTCAGACTTGATGTGACCGACTGACTTAATAGACTATCATAACGGACTGTCGTACTGGAGTAACTGTCGTGTCGAACTGACTTACTGAACTCTCCATTACATTGGGGTGGAGGACCTTATAAATTAGAACAATGTAAACAATACTATGAGAAAAGTAAACAAACAACTCTGGGCTCTGTACTCGTTAACAATCATTGGTAATTACTAAGTTGTTTACTAAACTTTATCTTAAATTTCACATTTAAGTATAGTTTGATTACAAAATAGAGTAAACATTACAATTAAATAAAAACGTATATTATAATATGATGAACAATTTATAAAACTTTATTACTTAAATTGAATAATTATATTCAAATAGGTACCACTACGACTATTTCGTATTTAAAGAATACAACATAATTACGATAATGTAAGGTATAGAAATTTATGTTTAGATTCGCGTCATTCTGAGTATTTTTAAAAGTCGACTTTATCACATTTTTCATACAGTATTACTTTAATACGAGAAAACACTAATAAGACATTAATTTGGTATATAAATACTAGCAAAAATAAATAAAATTCAATACTCACGGCATATTTTATCACCTCGTTAAATCCACTCAAGCGTCACTTCACTCACCAAACTTTAACTAACAAAGTTTCGATATTTTTCGTCCAAGAGGTTGGTAATTTTGTTCCAAATCTATGATTTATATCTTTTTTTTGTTTGTTTTAATACGTAATAGTTAGACTCTGTGCGTTTAAAATACGGTCTAAATTCAATTAAAAGAACTTCGTTGCTTTGCAACCACAGTTGCAAAGAGCAAAGTTAAGGATTCTGTTTTTGTAACTGTGGTTGCAAGAAGCAAACGAGCGGATATATAACTCTTCTGTATGTGTGTATGTAACTAAACTTCTAAACCTACAGTAATGGACCAATTAGTATGAAATTTTGTGTGTGTGATTAAGTTGATTCAAGAATGATTTATATTTACAACTTGACCTGGTAAGAATAGCTAGTATATTGGTAAGAAAGAAACGTATTCAAGAAACAAGTCTTGTCTTATTTGATGTAAAAGTTTTTGAAGAAGGTCTTTACTATGCAATTGTAACTCATCTTTCTAAACATGTCATAAATCAAAATTTATTGCAAGTAATAATTGTTAATGGAATATCAACATGTGAGCCCCTGCATGGGTGCTGGAAGCACCGGGTTCTTTTTTTCGATAGTTTTATTGTTGTGTGCGTAGTTTCAACAACTTGGTGTCTAGATCTACTTTGATAATTTTAAGTGAGAGATATCTCTTGGGCTATGTTATAGAAATTATGGTAAATAAAATAATTTAGAACTAATTAGAAATATATTACTCTTACAACATTTATATAAAGTATATTGCAATTAAATAAAATTTTTAATACATTCACTTAAGTTCAGCTGGCATTTCTGACCCATTCAGGGCAGCCAAAATGTTGTTAGCTGTCAGTTCACTCATTGTATTTCTTGCTTCTATAGAAGCACTGCCTATATGAGGTAGCACAACACAATTCTTAAGTTTAAACAATAGACTGTCTAAGGGTAAAGGCTCTGGTGTAGTCACATCCAAGCCTGCAGCTCTGATAGTGTTCTTTTGTAAAGCTTCAATCAATGCATTTTGGTCTACAGTCCCACCACGGCTTGTGTTTATGAAAATAGCAGTTCTTTTCATTTTTTCAAATGCTGTCTTATTAAACAGTTCTTTAGTCTCTGGCACTAATGCACAGCAACAAATGACAAAGTCACTTTGCATGAGTAACTCATCAAAAGTAACTTTGACTGCACCAATTTCTTTTGCCTCTGGTTTCTCACTGCGGTTATAATAAAGTATTGTCTTAGTGTTAAAGGACTTCACTCTTCTAGCAACTGCTTGACCTATTCTACCAAATCCAACAATCCCAACCGTGGAACCAGCAAGCCCTGGCCCTGTCATCCAAGTTGGTGCCCAAGAAACCCAACCCCCAGTTTTTGCTTCATGTTGAGCTTCTGGTAGACGCCTTGAGGTTGATAAGAGGAGAGCCAGCTGTAAAAATATAAATTTTTGGTGCTTGCAGTTTTTTAATATTATTTATTGGGTTCAAGCTGTTACTTATAAGGGTGTGTGATAAAGTAATAACCTAGTAAAACATACAGGAAATTAATGGATACAGTAAGTGGCTTATGACCTTGTTTTCTGGTGTTTTCCAAAGATTTGTTGACTTTTGTCGACTGTTGTGACTGTTGCATTACTTTTGAATGTGTGTGTTTGCAAGACGCTGACGCGCGCACACTAATGCAATAGTGTCATCTCTTATTATCTTACAGAAATTGTGTATACTACTTTCTCTGTCGCACAAATGAGCACTGATTGCGAATGAGTGAGCTCACTCATTTGAGAATGGACACATTTCAGAGTCGTTATACTATGGTAAGGGCGCATCTAACTATTTAAATCTTTGGTGTTTTCTGTGTCCCTCGAGGGATACCTATGTTCATTAGTTCACTTGTGAAGGAAGGAAGGATATGGCCACAGAATCTCATAGACTGTAACAAGAATTGTTTTTCTGTTTTGCCAGTATTAACATAATAATAATGAATTATGCAAAGGTTCTAGACTAGTTTCCAGAGTGGACATTTTACAGGGTAATAAGGAAAAGTAATGATCTCCACCTTTGTTTTTGTTTCCCTCTGTTGACACCCACGGGATGATATTAGGTAGTGGATTCTGTTACTCCACCACTACATGTAAATATTTATTTGTGTGAATAGTGAATCAGTCACACACAATCATCTTCGCGTGCTGGGATCACAACATAAAAGAGCTGTTGAACTTCTTTGGGGAGATTTCATGGCTTGAATAATCATAATATTTCTGACCATGTGCAAAATATGCACTTAGACATGGAGTTGCAGAAAATAGCCATCGTAAACTAACACATAACTTTTAAATAAAATACACATTACTAGTTTTTAGATCTGGATGAACTACGACTCATTATTTTGAGTATTTGAGCCTACTACAGATTATATTCCATATACATTGGTCATGGTAAAATTAATATTAGTGCCTGTAGGCTACTGTTACCAGTAGCTGACTTTTGGGAGTTTTTTGTCATCTATAATTGAAATAAGCAATTAAGGTCACTGAATTTAAACAATCTACTTACTGTAAGTTCAGCTGTAGCATCAGTTAACACATCAGGCGTATATCCAATCCTGATACCCCTTTCCCTACACTCTTGCACATCAATATGGTCATAACCCACTGATATTGTTGCCACAACTTTTAAGTTAGGTCCAGCTGCATCCAACACTTCTTTGTCAATTTTGTCAGTAAGAGAGCAGAATATGCCATTTGCACCCACCACACTTTTTAGAAATTCAGACCTTGGTACTGGGGATGGCTGATTCCAGAGTATAAGTTTGCATCTAAAAAATAATAAAAGGATAGGTATTATTACTAGTAGGAAATTGGCTAGTCAGTGTTATAAATCTTTGAGATTTGCTGTAAATTATCCCACATAAACAGCTTTTTAAAACATGTATGTGAAAGGCACCAGATAAAGCAATGTATCATACGATAGAAGGAGGTGGAAGATAGACAGCTGATGATACTAGTTGAATGTACAATACTATATGCTACTAATACAAGTTAAGATTTCAAGCTATACCCTCATTTATATTAAATTTTTAATCGTTTACCCTGTCTGTGACATGTCATAGGTGTTAAGGATGAGGGTAGAACTTGAAACTCCCACATATGAGCAATATAACCATAAAATATGGTGTATACAACTAGCTTGGAGTGGTACTTGGTTTTGTGATTCTGTCTATTGTAGTTTACTTTTAGTGCAAGCAAAAGTTATATAGCAGGAGGCTTTTTTGTGTCAAATTGTTTTTAGATGTTAGTGTGCTGTTAACTATTTGGCTTTTACAGCTTCATCTGATTCTGTGAGTTTGCAACAGGCTGCTTTAAGCCACATGGTTTCTCCAATAACAAAAAGCTAAAAAAATAACAGCATCAACAGGTTAACAGTGTGCCTCAGCAATTTGGCAATGTCAAAATTCTTAGTTCAGCAGTGCCATGCTCATAATAGGCTACCATTGAGAAGTCCAATTATGATGAAATCATCTCATCCATCATCTTTCTATCTCACTTCTTCATGTGTATACTGAATTTCAAAAAGGTACTAGTGATCGCTGAGAATTTTTCACATTTTGTCATGAGGCCCTAACTCTAGATTTAATGTAATTACATTTTACTATGTTATTTAAAGCATAATTTAAAAAAAAATCTGTATCCAGTAAAATATAAATTGCTTCATCAAAACTGAAGTGTTAAAAGTATTCAGCTAAATTACATTAATAAAAGCATATCTAATTAAGTAAAATTAAAATTATTTTTGCTAACATCATTTTCACTAAAACACTCAAAACTGTATCGAGGCGTGTTAAAATAATACTCACTGTTTTTTGAGTAATTCTATACCACCATGTGGCATATCAGAGCGGGTGACATAAACTTGGTATTTTCCTGTGCTACTCATGTTTCTAACAAATTTGCACAAAGCACCACTGTTAAATAAATAAGGTGCAACTGCCACAAAGACTTTGTAAGTCATGAATATAAATATATTAACTTTGTTGCACTAGTCAGTTTCCGTATAAATTAACTTAAAAAGGTCATTTTTATCCAGTCTATGGCAAATACTTCGGTGGTGCTTGAGCTAATTTTTTATCATTCGTTTCCTTGAAGAACGACGGTTTAGCTAAGTAAATGGCAAGATGTAATGCAAATACAGTCCCTAGTATAACTTTGCCTTTAGTTGACTTTATGAATGATAGACCGGACATACTATTTTACTGTTTTTATAAGATTTAGCGAAATGGATTTATGAAATTGATTAAAAAACTGATAACTCCGTGTGACAGAATTGACAGCAATATAAAGATGACAAAATTGATCGGTAATCTATGAGGATGATGTAATCACTATTACCAAATCTTCTATTACTTTCTACAATACTCTCTAGTATGCGCCGGGGCTTATGCACTCATATTATTCCTCAATGACTGATGCTCCGAAAGGAGTAATAGTGTTCACACTGTGGACTGATGACAGAATATTAGACTAGGGTGCGTTTGGCAGAAAAAAGCGCTAGCAAACGCTTGTAAGCAAAATGGCGATCGTAAGCGGTAAGCGCTGTCAAATCGTAAGTAGCTACTTTCCTCTAGGACACGATGTTAGTTTTAACCGGGGAACCTAACCTAATTTAAATATATGTTTGTAAAGTATTCATATTAAAAACTTACCAATCATGAATTTTTAATAACATGTATATGTCTATTCATGTCATTATATTACTTAAAACTAATATTGCACAAAACAACTTATAAACTCTACTTCAAAACGAACAAAATAATTAAGCGAAATAGCGGATTGTGTCAGCGCTACTGAAGTTATAAGCATAGCAAACGTGTCCTGGCCGAAAACTGTTTATTTTCGCCATTTTGCCACAGAACACTATTACTCCTATTGGAGCATTTTGCTTATAAGCGCTCTTAAAATAACCAGATCTAGTGACAAAATTACCAAGATGGCAACACTGTTGGCAATTGGGTTGGCAAAAATTGCCAGGCAGCTGCGTAGCTATCAATTAGGCACGTAGATCTAAAATCGATTAATCAAAATTGATTATTTTGGGTAAAATCTATTTTTCAGATCGATTTGGAACACTGTATCGATCCAAAAACTTGACTCAGACTGATTCAAGAACTAGCGATAAAGTTCCTAAACTGGCTGCGGTATTTTACTTTTTTAACTTTTTTACTGTTGTTGGACGCAAAAACAAGCGGTAGTACTTGGTTAATAATTTGAACGCAATAAAAATATTTATGAACGAAGATGTCGTTACATACTTTTTTTTGTAGAATAAGGGTGACAAATGAGCACATAGTCCATCTGAGGGTAAGTGCGTATTGTGGCTCATATCAAGCATCTTTATCCTCGATTGATAATCAACATACAGATCACCGCAGCAGCAGTCACCCCTGAATAAGATAGAATTCCAGTAAAAAGTATCTCCGGTTCTCAACACTCACCATACAAAACACAGCAGGCTTATGCTGCTATTTGATGCTCGTATTCTGTAAGATCGTGGTCCTGCCTCGGCTAAGCCAACCCATTCACGCTACAACTAATATAGCTGCAGCGTTGCTCTATCACGTATAATTTAAGTCACTTACTAATAAAAAAAAATACGTCTGACACTCGGGGACTGCCGCGGTAAAGGTTTAAAAGTAATTGTCATATTGCATAGCACTTAACTAATGCAATTATAATTATTTATTTATTTTATTTATGATACCTACTTTTCCTTTAGTTGGAGCCTTTCTTCAAAGTTTTGCGGAAATCGAATATATTTTTGACAACACTCGGATGGTCTTCTAATAATCAATCTTAATGGCTGGAGATGGACGGTAATTGTCCTGATTCCCAATCCGTTGAAAATTCTTATTAACCACTAAAGTTACTATAATATTAAGGAACTCATTACGAGCGTCTTCCATTTTAGAGGGAGTATCTTTGTCATTCCCATTTTTTTTTTAAAAACATGGAAGTGTCACGGGTCTATGTTCAGCAGAACCTTTAAAATATTCACTTATGGGCCGGCTCGACCGGGAAAGGATGGGCTTCCACAACTTCATGAACACAGCGGGACACTGAAGGCTGCGACACATAAGGGTTGATATTTTTGCCGCATATTCTTTGGTTACTACCACTAGCAAGGAATGACAGTGCACATAATAACTGAAAAATATACCAATAATTACATGAAACATCTGTTTTTTTTGTAAGCTAATATTATAGGGTCTCTCATTTAGATTGGTATGTTGGAGAACACTTGACTTCAGTGACGTCATAACTGCAGCCGCTTATCTAAGTTATGCAAAGTAGTTTTTAGTTTCATGGCAGCCACTTATACAGTTAAAGAAGTTGGATTTTTCTATAAAGTCTGTGTTTATTAACTACTCTAAATTCACGATAGTTGCTAGCATAACAACGACTCATATAAATCCAAAGAATATGTTTCTTGTAATAAACTATATTATTGTTTGAAATATTTTTATTATCTTACAATACATGCAACTAGTCTACACGCATACGTCTAGTCGCACGCACACAAACACCGTGCCGAAGTCTGCCGAACTGAAACGACGTTATGTCGCCTCTACACGTTGGCCAACACAGTGGCGAATGTAGTGGCGAATATATTGGCCGAGAGTTGGTGACGGCGTCCACACGTTGGAAGGTCGTTCAGTTTACTTTACTTCGGTTCGGGCCAATGTGCGGACGAACGACGGCTCCGTGGCGCAGTGGCTTAGCAATGAGTAGCTGTGCCGGAGGCCGCGGGTTTGAATCCCGCACGGAACAAGTATTTGTATATCCTACAAATAATTGTTTCGGGTCTGGATGTGTGTCCTTGTGCAATTTATGTTTGTAAGCTGCCTCCGCGATACAGGAGAAAATCCAAGTGTTACGTTTTTATAAAATAATTATAAAAGAATAGTGGATATTAATGGGGCTGTAAATAGATATACAATTAGCTTTATTTATTCTTTACATGCATCATAAACTGGAATAAATACCATGGAGTTGGGGGAATTGGGAGTCACTTAAGGAAAACTCGTTATTATAATCACTAATAATCAGTCTTATAATTTATTCACATTTACTTATCTTTAAAAACTATTCAGGTATCGAGTTACTTAAGTATTTTTGGTTATCATTACCATAAACATAATTATAATTAAAAAACCAAAAAGTCATTTTGGCTCCTATAACCCACATGTAAGGGGAATGAAAGTCAGTCTATGAGGGATTAAGAGTCAAAATTATGAAACAAAAAAAGTAACAAAACTCTTTAAACAAACAAATAAGAATTAACAAAATCAAAAGTTAGAAATGGTTACCCCATGGAATCATAACACAGAATGGAATATAAATCGAGTTAAATGCAAAAATCACAGCGATAGCGATTTGGATCATCACATCCTGTACATGCCTCATGAGCCCATCCAGCACAGAGACGGCAACGGTACCAGATTTATCTCAGTATTCCCTCTTCGAGGCATATCGTGCACACAGGCTGATCACGCTCTTTCTGAGTGTTTTTCTGGATGTTTAGCGGGATTTCAATATTTTCTAAGTCACTATCAGCACTCTCGTCATACGGAACCTGTTCATCAGCCGATTTTTCAGATGAACTTGACTTAAATAAGTTCTTTTTAAGTTCTTTTATCTTCTTAATTACTTTGCCTCTTGTATGCAGTAAGAATTCCGGATTGATGTGTTTTTTTTTTCCTATGCCTTTACCTTTTTCAATGCTAGGCAGAGGTATTAGTTGTGAAAGTACGCTAGCTAGAGGTTCACTGTCGGATTTATTGTTATCTTGATTTATACTGTCATTTGGTTTATAATTTGTAATATCAACACTTGTAGAAGGTTGCGGTCCTATAACGTTCCTACTGCTAGTTGATGCTGTTGCTTCTGAAATGTTGTTAGTTGAATGGTTATCTGAAACTTCATTAACTCTTAAAGTCTGTTATGGTGGCAGAAATATTTTCAACACAGAGAACATCAGAGGATTTAGTCACTTCGGTTTTATTAAATCCTGCAATTCTCTGTATACTTACAGCTTCAGGATTTCGAATGCTTATTCGTAGATTTTTCTTAAGAAATCCTTGGATCCAGTCCCTGCCAGCCATTCTAGCATCTCTATTAAATTTATGAGATAGCTTTAAATTTTAAGCACATTGAAATGTTATTTTTCTTAGTTAATATGTCGTTAAACCAACAAACTTATTTTCTTGCTCTTCGTTAAAAACGGCATGCCTTCCTAATTTTAGAGGTTTAAATATATCTTTCTTTATCCTTCTTTGTAATGTGCTGAAAGGAATACGAGTTTCCTCGGCAACTTTGCGCATTGCCGCCTTGTCTGATGCATACAGCAGCTGACTGCAAGTCGCCTACAGTCCAACTCGCTTTAAAGATCTTTCTAATCCAGTTCCTTGACGTCTGAAATGAACAAAAATGTTTATATATAATGAAAAACGATGCGGGAAATGGGGGTCAACTAACTCTCATTACCCCAAGGACGGTTTGTTTGCTAGATTTGAATTATTAAATAAAAACACCAAAAAAACTAATAAATTGCAATTATAAACATAAGTTTAGTCTTAGTACTACACTTTAAGATTATTTTATATGCAAAAGTAACAAATATAGATACTCACGTTTTCGATCGAAATTTCTAAAATTTTACAACGGCTCCTCCTCTATGACACATGTGTTGTTCCTGATGACGCGAGGGTGAGTGGCGGGCCGGCGTATTGGCAAGTGCGAGAGGGGTGCGGAGCTACACCCCATGCGACAGAGCTGTATTCTGTAAAGCTTTAGGTTCAATTCATTTTGAACTGACCCGCATTGCCCACTGACTACCATTCCCCCTGGCTCCCCTAATAAGAACTTAACATATTTTAAAGT